AAAAAAAAACCCATAAAAATCAGAAAATTGCACTGGAAAAAACTAGAAAAAATCATCAAAATAAATAATATAATTAATCACGAGGAATAGGACATAAATGCCCAACATATAATTCACCAGTTCACTTAATTGTATTTGAATGCACATGAAACTTTGCTTTATATAGTGTGTGAAGTTTGAAGAAAAGGTTAAACTTGAGTACATGTACTTTCAAAATAAATCATTTTTATACACAGTAGATGAGAAAGTTGAAGGCCATAGGGGAAGTCAGTTTTTAAAAAAATACACACAGTTGATAAATTCTTACCAAATTTAAAATTATGTATAAGTTACAAAAATATCTTGAATAGTTTTTTTGGTTTGAAAGTTAGCAAGCTGCAAATTTAAAAAAAGTGAGGTCAAGGTAAAAACAAATCTTTAAGCAGTTGAATACCTCTCACTATATGTGTCAGCAAATGAAGTTTGATAAAAATATCTTGAAAAATTTCTTTGAAACTGGGCTTAACACAAAGTGTCACAGAATGACAGAAGGACAGATGACGGACATGACAAACACTATACATTTTGCGTGTAATATACATTATTAACCTCTGCAAAAAATTCTCCATTTTAATCCAGGATTGTCTAAAAAGAATTTGATAAAACTTTCGGCACACTGATGACCTAGCTATCAGAAGGCCTGCTACATACATTGTAATTAGCAGTAACCCTCTTTTGGTTTCATTGGTGGTTTCATAAAGTTCTTGCTTTCTTTTGATTTCGGACATTTTCTTCTTTTTTTTTTCCCTTGACTACTTTAAGTTCTTTGGACTCAGTGATATATTAGATATAGCAAACATTGAAAAAAAATTAATACACTCTACATTGTATAATATTTAATGAGATCTGTTCATTCTTTACAGTTTCTCGATTCAATTTTATTAATTTGTTTATATGTACTGTATTTTCTTCTAAGGATCTTTGAATTTGTAGTATCTTCTGTAAACAGCATGTGTGTGTTAGAGAGAGAGAGAGAGAGAGAGAGAGAGAAGCTATATGGGGGAGAGAGAAAGATACTTAAAGCCATGACTTTGAAATTAATAATACTTTCTCAGCCTTTTAAAATCAACATAATTTATGATAAAACTCTGAATGTAAAATAAATTCATGTTTCTGACTTTTTGTTTACGTATTTTCTCTTGTTTGTTTTACCAGCTCTTTTGAGACAACCCCGTTTATGGTTCATTCGGAACTGCTTAAAATGGGATGTTGTGAATATTGCTCTTTATTTTGGATTTACGCCGTATTTTAACGAAACCGAAATTTCATGAGATAGAAGATACATCAATGTTTCATTCACATATCTTAAATGAAATACACACCTTACCACAGTTTCAGAGCACGTCTTTACTTTCAAGAAAGCACGTGTTTAATGTCGGTCAACGTCACTTAAGCGCTTGCGGTTGTAAACAAAAAGCCTGGACACGGTAAGATAGACGGAGTTCTTGATCTCGCTATGTCATCCAGAGTATGGACAATACATAAAGCTTCATTTATGTAAAGAATCATAAGAAACAGAAACATTTATGTTTGCTTAATTTTAATTATTTAATTAAAATTATTCGGAACTGCTTAAAATCCGGAACTGCTTAAAGCACTGTCGGGTGACTGGAAATTCCAGAAGCCCCCCGTTTTTTGGAGAATACCGATACAAAAGGGTAGAAGCCCAAATAAAGTGGTAGAAGCCCCATATAATTGAATGAAATGGGGTATATAAAACCCTAGAGTGATGTTTAAATGAATGATATCGATATCCGTAAATTTTTATAGCCAATTTTACCTCAGAGTCGACAGAAATCGGGCGCCATTACTGGTTTACCGTACACCACGCCCGATCTAATTTCGAAGCGAGCTGCTGTTTATAAATCATCGTAAAGATAAAGTTAAAATTATTCATTTTAATATGTTTGTTATGCAAGATATATATCAAATATTATGTAATAAATATTTTTTTTTAATTAAGAACGTTAGCCATTAAGATAATTGAAGATTTTTTTTTATTTTTGAGATTTTAGAGAAATTCATAATTTAGAGATATGATTATATCCAAAAGCTTCAAAGCAACAATAATAATAAAAAATAGTAATGATAATTAATTAATAATTACTTATATGTTTCAAAGAGAACAAAAAAAAAAAAAAAATTTCAAAATATGAAAATATTGAATTTATTTTATTTTTGAGATTTTAGACAAATTATGACGTTAGAAAAATAAAAATATGAAATTCAAAGGTTCAAAGCAAATGATAAAAATTGAAATTTAAAAATGAAAATAATAATTACTTATATGTTAAAAGAGAACAAAAAGTAAATCAATGTCAAAATATGAAAATACTGAAACCTGGAAAGAAATGGTAAATTAAAAAATATCAATACCAAATATATTTCAACTAAAGGTATATAGATATTTTATTTCAAAGTAACTTTTTTATGTTCTTTTCTTAGAAAAAAATTCAGATATTTTAAATATTTTACATCAGTTGTTAACATTTTGAATTGTCTTTAAATTAAAACAAATATGAATTTTAAAAAAAGTAAAGTAAAAAAACCACACCACAAAATAAAATATAACGGAATTTTTGATTGAATTTTACCAGTCTTAAACCATTAAAACCAAAAAATGTTTTTAAAATTGTATATTTATTATTTTTTCTAGAGTAGGGTTGGTATCAGGCGGTATTTCTCCCCCGCCAGACGGGTGCAGACCATTGAATACTGTTTGGTGTTGTGTTAGATTAGGTTAGGTTAGGACCATGTTTTTTTTTTTTAATGCTGCTAATTAAATTATAATTCCTTTCTATGAAATTTTTTATAATGTTATTTAATCTTATGTCAATTTCTTTCATTTGGCTGTAATATACATGAACAAAAGATTGACTAGGAATAATGATAAAGTATCTTTATTAAAATACAATGTAAGTCTTTTTAAATTTTTTTTTAGTTTTCTTTTAAAGCCATATATGGCGTAACTGATAAAAAATAATATATTTTTGAAAAATACAAAATTAATTAAAGAAATATAGTTAATTTATTTAAATTAAAACTTTTCATACAATTCTGAACACGGAGAAAACCTCGTTTCATCTAATAATACGAGTTTATCTTCTCTGTAATGTGTTATTTAAATCTTTTGTATTTTCTTCCGAGTCGGAGAAAATTCCGATAATCCAAATTTAATTGTGACATTTTTGGTACATATTATATAGGAAAAAATAATAATAATGTGGGGGTACCCTACAGCTTTCCATATACGCCATATATGGCTTTAATCTTTCAGTCCTTTGGCTTTTATAGTTTTCTGTTTCAAGATTCAAATCATGGCTCCACAATTAAGGAGGCCTCCATGTGGGCTAGTGCTGGGAACATAAGGAAACTATGAATATGTTCCAGGTATTACTAATTTAAAAGGTCTTTATTAATTTATCATTATTGATATTAGCATCAAAATTATCAAATTCATATTTTCCTTATTTTCCTTATGTGTGTGCTAACGTCCTTAAAATGAAAATTTGTATTTAAAGCATATTACCATTTCATATCAACATTTTTTTTTTAAGATCATATTACAAAATCATTTATTTTACAATTTGATACAATGTAATGAAAGTGAAGAACAGTTGAGCATAGTCAAGGTTCAGTGTATATATACACATGCCCTGCCAGAGGGGGGTTGTTAGACTAGCTGAGAACAGGTGTTTGATCAAAAGAAGTTTATTGTCAACTTGACCAAGTGTCAAAAGCTGTGTATATATTGGATGTATACACACAGGGGTGCCTGTCTATCCCAGTACAAAACAACACAGCTAGCTGATGTGTAAATAATATTCTCACCATATTCTCATAATACCCACTTTACAAGTGTTTGCATATGCATATGCAATTATGCACATTTTATTCATTTTTATGTAACTTTTTTAATTTCCTGGACCTGGATTCTAATAATTTCATTCTAATGGATACATATTGCTTTCTAATATCAATGAGTATAATTTGTTCTATTACATGAACAAAAAAAAAAAAAAAAAGATTAATAAAAAGCTCCCCCAAATAAAACAGAACCAAAAAAAAATTACAACAAGTAACTGGAAAATAATAATGAATGCATGAATACTGAATTTCAAATATAAATAAACAATTGGAAGAAAAAGAAACCAAAAGAAATACCTTTGAAATTTAATAAATTAACAACTTAAATCACTTAATTCATTAATTTATTTAACTTAATTTTATGTTATAGGTGATTGGAATTTTAAAAAAGGAACTTTATTAATTATTAATTGCCTAGTTAAATTCATTTACAACACCCAATCAATTAGTATTTTCACTGTTACAGTAATCTCTATCAACAGGTTAAATCTCAATGTTTTTATGTAACAGTACACATCATCTACACAAATATTTTCATATTTTCAATAATGATTTTCGATATAAAATTCTTTTTGGTAGGTACAAACCAGTGTGGATAAAAGTATTCAAGTAGGCCATGAAATATATTCATAATTAAAATTTTATTTCATTTAGGAAATATGTAAATATTTAATGCTTCATTTATATTCTTAACTTTCCTTTCATAATTTTTTTAAAAAATAAAAATCATGTATTATATTATTCACTTTTGATCAAGATAATGGTAATGATTTTCACGGATTACTCTAAACGACTTCAGCGATCGTGATTTTAGATCGGGCGTGGTGTACGGTATATGAAGACAAGAAGAAATGGCGCCCGATTTCTGTCGACTCTGAGGTAAAATTGGTTATAAAAATTTACGGATATCAATATCATTCATTTAAACATCACCTTAGGGTTTTATGTACCCCATTTCATTCAATTTTATGGGGCTTCTACCACATTATTGGGGCTTCTACCCTTCTGTATCGGTATTCTCCAAAAAACGGGGGGCTTCTGGAATTTCCAGTTACCGCTGTCCGATAATGAATGACTGTAATAAAAGCGTTTTCTTAACAAAGATGCTCTCCGCAGTTTCGGAGGAAAATAATGTCAAGAAAAAGTTGGAAGTGGAGTGATGCAAATTTTTCAAGTTTACCATCTCATGAAAACATTTTTGGCATAACAACAACTCCACAAACAAACATATATCTACACTCAAAAGTTGTAGACCCGAATGGATCTAATAAGATCGTGATTGCATCGTTAGCAGGGAGAATTGTCGTCGTTGAATATCATAGAAATTTTGATAACCTGATTCCTTCTGCAAAAGAGATCCATTTTACATACTTACCTGGTATGAACATGTTGTTTTATATTATAGATCTAGTAACTAATGATAAATGTTCGTTTTTTATAAGTGGGCGGGGCTGCAGAAGTGCAGTACACTGTATACCTTTGTAACGGCGGATGGGCGGGGGGGGGAGAGAAAATGTATGGCTGGACGGGGAAGGGAGCCCGGTGTCCTTGCATTTCTTATCAGTTGCTGTAACCATTGGACTACTTAATCCAATTTCCACAGCACAAACCATTACATAACTGTACACCGGCCTTTTTGAGTACCAGTAGAGGATTAGTTGATATTCTAAAAGGACTGAAGGAGAGTCTTATTTATTTACAAACGACATTGCTTCTTAACCCTCATTAATTGACAGCCCTTCAGACCTTCAAAATATGGAACCACTTTTTTTTCTTCTAGCTCTCCCTATTTAATTAAAAAAAAAATTCTTGTTCTTTGTAGCTGATGCAGAGCTCATCTCACTAGATGTAATCAGCAAATTCAACCAGGGAAATGGAATTATTGTGGGCATTACATTTATCAAGCAGAAACAAGGGGTATCTATCTGCAAACATCTAAATTCATCAGAGCCAATATAGATTTCTAGGAACTTACTTCTTAAAAAAAATGAAAGATAATGTTCTTTTTGTTATCTTACAGATAGAGGATGGTGACAATGCCTGTACTCAGTATCTCAACATCTATTCTTCATGTGAGCCAGGGGAGGAGTCACATTTAGAAAGTATTGCACGTAAGTCATGATGTTAAGATTGAACTGACAGTCATCCAGTAATGGAGACTAAAACAGATGCATCACCTGAAAATTTTATGCATGCAATTTTTCATTTTAAACAACTACAAGGGGGACTCAATTTCCTGTTTCAGAGGGATGTGTAACAATTGACTTGGATTTTGTTCCATATCAGCTAACACACACACAGTAAGATATTTGATCACATGTCAAAATATTCCTTGTTTGGTAATAATGTAATTTTGAAATTTTCTATTTATTTATAGAAGCTAACTTTAATTTAATTACAGTATAATACAATTAATAATATATTATGTTGTTTATTCATTGCAGAATTGTGTCAGAAAATAAAAAGGAAGATGTATTTCTTCTTGGTGGCAGTGACAACAGAGTTCATATATACAAGGAGGTATGAATCCACGAATTTGACCTTGTATTGAAAACTACCTGTGTGTTCCAAATAAAGTCTTTTATTTAGCTAGTGAAAAAAAGTGACTGACATTTAAAAAGCAAAAAAAAATAAAAAATTTTAATCCGAATATAGGATGATTTTAAACATACTCCTTATTCAGACTCAATCTAGATGAATAAAATGAATTCATGAAAATTTATTCTATGATGATGGCACAGTACACACATTATAAATTGCAACTATGTAGGAGAACATACAGATTTTGTATTTTAATAATGCTTCCTCTAATTTTAGGGATTTCAACACAGATTTATAGAGGAAGATTCTGATGAATTTTTCCCAGAGTTTGAAGATTTAAACAGCTGGTATTTTGTGTTTATATTTCATGCAAAGAAGAAAAAAAGTAGTATTACAGCTAAAGATACATTCATAAAAGTGTATTTAGAGTCATCCCTTTTCATCAGCACAGTTTGATTCTTAAAGATAAACAGATTAAAAGACAAACACATTGAAGAAAATGATATTTTGTCTACTCAGAGAGGATAATTGTAACTTAGGGTCTTTATTTCTCTTGACCAGTGTCCAGTGGCTAGACATTGAATACTATGAGTCAGACACCAGAAGACTGACCGCCATGGGTCATCAGAGTGGACTGGTGAAGCTGGCTGTGATCGACGTAGCCAAAACAGGTCTAACAGATAGCAAGACATTAATGATTAAGTAATATGAGGAAGGTTATTTCCTAGAATATTTACATCTTAATTTTCCCTACTTTTAATACATGTTTATACCCTACATACCTTATAGTTATACTTAAGCCCTTTTCTTTTCAGTGGCCTATAACAAAATTTGAAAGTTGTTTCTTATTCTTGACTACATTTGCAATAAGTTTATTTTTTAATACATTTTACATGTATTTTTAATGAAAACACAGGTAGTTTGTAAGTGTTCCAGTAATAAACTTTAGGAAATCAAAATTGAGTGGACATAATGAGAATTTGACATATGTTATTTGTTTTCTTTTTTCCAGTGGTTCTTCATACATTGGTATCAGAACATGACAGCCCCATTACAAGTGTCAGGATATTTAACCCAGTTAATGATTTCTCACCACCGGCTTTCATCAGATCAGGTAAAATATAAAAGAACTGTAAAGTAAAGATTTTCCTTTCCAACAATCAATAATGACAACTTTATACATCAACTCAACAATTTCATTTACATTTATTTTATTATTACAAACAATATACCCCCTCCCCAGTCTTTTTGCTGATTTTTTTCTGAACATACAATATATTTGTCTTTTACAAAAATATATAGTATTACAAAATATTTTGCAACAATTTTTTTTTATGTCTAAGTACTATTACTGTAACAGATAATATTCCTTCCCTGGTAATCTATTGATATTTTGTTACACATGTATTACAGAAAATACATGTATTTTGTCATTACAGACAGTATTCCCTCTCCTCAGGTAAATGAAGTCCCAACATTTCATCTCCTAGTGGTCAGTGCTTTATCACCTGCTGTGGTGCACAGGTCAGTGAACATCGTACATCCCTATTGATTTTTTGTATGTCATGTTTTTAGGTATATATGCTCTGATATAAATGTGTTTAGTATGGAGGCTTATTTGAATTGCAGAGATGTTCTGAACAAGCACTTTAAGGACCGTCTAATTTTACCTGGCAGTAATTCCTATGATATTCCTCTATGTGTCTGTGTGATGGATGTAGATTTTGATGGACAGAATGAACTCCTAGTTGGAACATATGGCCAGGTAAACTTCTTTACTAAAAGTTAGTTGAAGCAGATACTGTAAAATCACATATTTTCAAGGGATCAAATTTTCGTGGTTTGAAGAAGATATGTTGGGTTCATGGGGATTTGCTTTTGTGGTTGAAGAATTGTTCAGTAGTAATATATGTGAAAAATTGCATTTTGTGGTGGACATAAATCCATGGGTCTCTTCAGACCTTGAGAACCACGAAAATTAAACCCCACGAAAATTATTGATTTCATAGTAGATGTACCTGTAGGCTGAAGAAGGAGTAATTTAAGACACCCATACTGACTGATGTCTCCTTAACTTCTAGTTTTACAAAATTTATTTGCAATGAACATTTTCATTATCTCATCAAAGATGGCAAGAACATGATTATTATTAACTTGTCATGATATCGAGCTATGTAATCTTGATCTTACCTGCAGTGTATTTTAAACAGTGTTGATTTTACTTTTAGGAACTTTTGGCCTACAAGTTTGTAGATTTTAACGAGGAAAGCAAACAGCTGGAGGAAAATTATGATCAAATCTCCAAAACAACAGACTCTCTGGACGATACTCGTAATCGTCACAAATCTAGTGAATGCAACCATTCTAATAACTTTGATGAGGACTTGACAAAAGCCAATCTTTCTCGTAAAACCAAATCCCAGGAAAACATTTCTACAGACTCCCAGTGCTGTGAGAACACCTGCCTAGTGAACATGTATAACAACGCTACCTACCCCTCCCCCCACCAGGCGGGGTACCAGCTCCTGTGGCAGAGGAGCTTCTCTTGTCCTGTGATGGGGGTGGATAGACTGGACATTGTAGGAGATGGCCTTGATGACCTCATTGTGGTCACTCTCAAAGGAGTCCATATTGTACAGGTCTGTTCATATATATGTTTTGCAATGTTATGCAGTAGTCATTGTCATGTGACATAAAATTCCAATTTTATTCAAGGAGGAACATCTTCTGTACATTTCAAATTCATTCTTTTACTCTGTCTTTCCAGTATATAATAATCTTTAATTGGTAAATGTCTTTTTTTCAGCCTGATTTGTTTGATGTTGCAAAAGTGTGTTCAGAGAGACTGGATTTGTTGGCCAAACTGGTACAAGATTCAAAACTGGAAGATAAAGAAACTTGAAACAATGCACCTTAACTTGTTAAAAGCATATTCTGAAACTATAACCGTGTTTTACTGTAATGTGATTAAACAGAGCTGGATATATGATGTGACTGACAGCATGCAAAGGGTACAAGTTGAAGTATGCTATTTAAAAAGTATCAGAATTCAAAAAGAATGTTCATGCTCGATTTACTACAGGTAAATTACTGTAAATTCCAACGGATTTATTGGAAAAATAAATATGTATAAAATAGTTTTTATGACCTGCTTTTTGGTTGACACAGTCTGAGGAGTCAACGGTGTCTTCCCACTTAGGCAAAATTCTGAAAATGCTACAAGTGACTGGTTTTGGCTAGGTGGGAATGGTGCACAGGTAGTGGGAGGGAGAGAACAAAAGAAATTAATTACAGGTGACCTATAGTCTGTTTAAGATTAACCACAAGAAATAGGTTAAAATTTACTTATTAAATGCTGATATTGCAAATCAATATTTTAATTATATATATATTGATTTTTTTGTTTATTTTGAATAAATTAATGCCATTTTATCTAAATAATTTTATTAAACTCAATTATTAATGAAGAAATAAAATGTTTCTTAATTTTTTTTCTAATTTGTAAATGGTTAACAATTTGCATTCTTTTTTTTTTATTAGCTCACCTGAGCCGAAGGCTCAAGTGAGCTTTTCTGATCAAAATTTGTCCGTCGTCTGTCGTTGTTGTTGTTGGCGTTGTCGTCGTCGTAAACTTTTCACATTTTCATCTTCTTCTCAAGAACCACTGGGCCAATTTTAACCAAACTTGCCACAAAGTATCCTTGGGTGAAGGGGATTCAAGTTTGTTCAAATGAAGGTCCCTGCCCTTTTCCAAGGGGAGATAATCATGAATTTGTTAAAAATTAATGGCAGTTTTAAAAAATCTTCTTCTCCAGAACCGCTGGGCCAGGAAAGATGAAACTCATGTGGAATCATCCTCAGGTAGTGTAGATTCAAGTTTGTTCAAATCATGACCCCCGGGGCAAGGGTGGGGCCAAAATGGCCGACCCAAGTTTTACATAGGAATATATAGGAAAAGTCTTTAAAAATCTTCTTCTCCAGAACCACTGGGCCAGGAAAGATGAAACTCATGTGGAATCATCCTCAGGTAGTGTAAATTCAAGTTTGTTCAAATCATGACCCCCGGGGCAAGGTAGGGGCTAAAATGGCCGATCCAAGTTTTACATAGGAATATATAGGAAAAATCTTTAAAAATCTTCTTCTCCAGAACCACTAAGCCAGGAAAGATGAAACTCATGTGGAATCATCCTCAGGTAGTGTAGATTCAAATTTGTTCAAATCATGACCCCCGGGGCAAGGATGGGGCCAAAATGGCCGACCCAAGTTTTACACAGAAATATATAGGAAAAATACTTAAAAAATCTTCTTCTCCAGAACCACTGGGCCAGGAAAGATGAAACTCATGTGGAATCATCCTCAGGTAGTGTAGATTCAAGTTTGTTCAAATCATGACCCCCGGGGCAAAGGTGGGGCCAAAATGGCTGACCCAAGTTTTACATATTAGGAATATATAGGAAATATCTTCTTCTCCAGAACCACTGGGCCAGGAAAGATGAAACTCATGTGGAATCATCCTCAGGTAGTGCAGATTCAAGTTTGTTCAAATCATGACCCCCGGGGTTGGGTGGGGCCAAAATGGCCGACCCAAGTTTTACATAGGGATATATAGGGAAACCTTTTAAAATCTTCTTTTCAAGTACTTCAAAGCTATGATTAGTGATATTTATATGGAATCATCCTCAGGTAGTGTAGATTCTAGTTTGTTCAAATGATGAACGCCTGGAGGGGGGGTGGGGGGGTGGAGTAAATTCAAGCCTGATGTGCTCAGGTGAGCGCTGTGGCCCCTGGGCCTCTTGTTTTCTATATTGTGCATTATTTTTATTCGATTTTTTTTTTATTTATTGAAAGTTTTAAGTGCCAATTTTAATATACTTTATCACAGATATTTTAAAAATACATGTGAATGGAAGGTACGGTATTATAAATGTCTTTAAAATCTTGAATCTATGTACTGTAATCATGTGTTTAAACTTAAATGCGAATAATTCTAATAATTAAATAATTTATTAAAATAAAATATCACATTTATGGAAACACATGAATAAGATGACTGATAAATTAATATGTTACATTAAAAGTTTTTATTTTTAAATAAACTTTTAGAAATAAAATGGTTATATTAAACTGTTTTGTTTGAAAAATATGTTAAAGCAAGATTTTCTCTAATAGATACTCTATTTTATCCCCCAAACATTTTTTTGTGCATTAAGAATTGGTTTGAACATATTTTATTGAATAAATACGATACAAATGGTTTGAAAACAAGTTCTAATACCTTATGAGGTTTTCAGCATAAAATGCTACAACTGTCAATGTTTATACATGTACATGGGAATTAAGAAAAATGATATAAGAATTAAATATAATTTTTGCATGGACACTTTATGTATTTCTAGTAAAGTATATAAACCAGATTATATTATATTTTTACCATCAATTAATTTTTTTATAGGACATGTATAAATGTATTTCCTATTTAGTACAAATATTTCTGTAAAGTAACTTTATAAACTCAATTCTTTTTCTTTTCATTCTGACTATAATCTCTTTATCGGAAAGATTTAATTAACCAAATACATTAAATAATTTCAGTGTATTGTCAAAAATATTCTCTGTAAATGGGTGAATTAATTTTTTTTCTCACTTTTCCCAAGAAAATCATTTTTTAAAAATTTTCTCTACATATTTAAAAATAATATCGATATAAATGCACTGATATGTATTTTATTTATTTTTTGTAGAACCTGATTAATCATAATTATGTAAAAATCAAGTATTTATGATATGTATTTTGATATTGAACTTATACACCACAGGAAATAAGTACAGGGAATAATCCTAAAACAGACTATACACGGGTGACCTCTCAGGTGTGAAAATCCCAATTTTGGCTAGATGGGAATAAGAAATTCAGAATTTTGGCTAAGTGGGAATAAACCGAGTCAACTACCAGTATAATTGATAAACATGTATAACCATGCAACATACCCCCCCCCCCCCATACAGGTGAGGTACCAGCTCCTGTGGCAGAGTTTCTCTTGTCCTGTAAACACCAGGGATTATCAAAGTTTGCCATTTTCTAACACTGTAGACGTACTTTTTTCCAGGGGGTCAAAATTCAGCAGAATCTCAATTTCTGTTTAATCCGCAGGTAGAAAATTAGCGGATTTCTTAGACTGTCACTATATGCCTTACATTTATATTAAGTACACTTGGATAAATTTCCGCGGAAGATCTGTGGTTGCGTGAATAGTGTAAATTAATACCACGCGGAAAAATGTACTTTTACAGAACCTAATAGTTTAATTTCAGTACTGCAAGATAACAAGGTTTGACTGTATCAGTTTTATAAAATGAAAATAACATTCTTTGCAAGACGATTTCTGTCATTTATTAGATATTTAAAAATTATCACATATAATATATCACTGTAACACTAAATCAACAAACAAGTCAATAACAATGATATGAACACTGCATGATAACGTGCAAACAAAAAACTTCAAATCAAAAATACATCACATGATCACTCACATGACTGACAACAACCAATCATAAACTTCCTATTAGGAAGCATAATCTATCATGGCAGACTAGAGAGTAAATGGGCGTGAAAGACACAATCCCATCTCCGTATTTACACTTGAAAACTTCAGTCATTGATTTTTGTTTCGATAGAGTTGGAAAAATAAAATTGAAAATCAAAAAAAAAATGATTATGGAGATAGACCATTATTTATAAGGGCTATTCCAGAAAAAAATGTATGGGGGGGTTGGAAGGCACTTTTATTTTTACCCCACCACCCATACAATTTTAATTGCTTTCTCCCCCACCGCCCATCAAATTAAAAATGCTTTTAATACAACCACCCATCTAAATTTAAATTAATTTTTTAAAGAATCGTGTTTTAAGTTATGTATTTATAAAATAATATTTTATGTACCAGTACCTTTTTTCCAGCATTTGCACTTTATGGAACTTGAAATGATTGTTCGCTTTTGGGATGTATCCAAACAATGGACTCGTTTAAAAAGAAAAAAAAAATATGATGCAAATCTAAATATTATGCACAAAACTTTCATTTTTCCATTACTTTGAAAATAGTTTTAATCTTTTTTGAAAAGAATTGCAAATTTTAACAGAAACAAAAGTTTTGTAAGATTTTACAATCTGCTAATTTTTTTTAATTCAAGTCCAAAGTTCTTTTGTAACACAGGCCACAGAGTTCCTGCTACAGCTTTCTGATTTTTTGTTTGTTTGTTTGTTTGTTTTTTTTGGGGAGGGGGCACTAAAGTTATGTAGATATGTAGGGCATTGTCTATTTAGTGGGATGTGAAAAAAAATGAAATCTCAACCCCACCTAACAACCGTGCAGGCACGTTTCTGAAATAAATTTTTTTAATTCATTTGTATGTTATGGTCGGGTTAAAAATAAATTAAATATATTTGAGGTAACACTCAACAGGTTAAGGGTTGGTATGTATTGACATAATTCATGTATATTGTTACAAACCCTGTTATATTTAAACATTATTTTACACCTTATTTGGAATAAGTAAAATATTTTACTTGCAAACTCCATAGTCATGCTCTAAAATTTTTATTATCAGATACGTTTTTTTCTACTTTCTGTTTTAATCAAACGATCTCTCTGATAGTTTCTATTTTTTAATTTACCAATGTAATCACGTCTGAATAAATTGCTGGAATGAAACTTGAGCTGGAAGCAACAAAGTTCACAAAGAAATTGTGTCCCAATCCTCCACTGTCATTACACCATATGCTTTTATAATTATCTGCCCGTTTCCCGTTGTTCGATTCTACTTTCACTTTCAATGTCAACACACTTCTCAACTGTTGAGGACGTTTTTTTTTATGAAATAAATATCAAAATTTTACTGGCTTATACAAAATGAAAGGAAGGAAGTTCTTTGCAGTTGATTATTTGTGAGGGTAAGTGCAACCACCCATCTAAAAATATATCGGATGAGGACAACCACCCACGCAAATTTAATTGCTAAAGTCCCCATTACCCATACAAAAATATATGAAGTGCCGTCCAACCCTTCCATACATTTTTTTCTGGAATAGCCCTAATAATGAAAGGGGAGCATATAAGATTAATGCCTTAATAGTCCAATCCACACTTTTCAAAAGTTATGTCCCTTGGCCGCCATCTCAGGGGATAAACCCTTACAATCCACACAGTAGCCTTTGTAGTTTTCAGGTTTGTAACTTAGTCATTTGACTTTAAAAAAGCTCTGCCTTTTGTGTACTGATTGCCCCAAGATGGGGCTACCCACACATTGAAAAAAAAAAAAAATTAAGGATAAATAACACAAACTTTTTTCAGAAATCAGCATTATTTCTCATAGATTTACATTTAATTTGACAACCTGAATAACGTTTACCAAGTAGAGTGGGAGAATTTTATAAGATTTTGTCATGAAGTTAAAAAATTGTGCAAAATTTTGTATGGAATTATATAGAAGGCAAAATAAAATCTCAAATCTAAGCACCAAGGAAAACCTACGATTTCTTTATATTTCAGGGATTTATTATTTATGTCATTACAAATCAAAATCAGTCAAAAAATATATAATAACCCGCGCATCCATTTTTTGTTTGTGGTAAGTACCCTTAAACACAATGGATTTATCACAGCACGCCCAAATATTTGGTAGCATAAAGAGGAGAAATGACGTTTCTTTCCCTTTTGACCTTTGGTTGACCCCGCAAAAGGAAACAACTTTTGCAAACTGTGGATTGGTCTATTCTCTCATACTGTTTTACATATTTCTAAGAGTTCTCTACTATAAAGTACAGTACTGTAGAAAAATCAAACTTATGAAAAGTACAGTGTATCATATGCTATATCTCACTGATAATGTCAACACATAGATTTAGAATGATTCATTCTTTTTTAACAATAAAAACTGTCAAAATATAAATGCATTCATTTTATATAAATTGAACTCAATGACTCAGTAAAGATTAATTTTCACTTGTATCATACACACATGTACATTTAAATACGAGATCCTATTATTCTGCACTGCATAAATATTATATTACCACCAAGTGTACTAGATTTATAAAAACACAATTATGCTTATTTATTCCAAGCAAAAAAGCTTTATATATTGATTGAATACAACAAGGATGGAAGCCATTTACCAGTACTGCACAAGTAAATCTATACCCACCTCTAAGTACACATGTATTACATGTATAAGTTTAATTCAACAGAGTCACAAAGGTAAAATGCAAAGGAAAACTGTTAATATTGCACATAGGAACAGATGAATACAGTCATTCGTGTTGTTTTTCTTTGTGGCCCAGTCACTTTTCCTGATTACTACTTTGCAGTCTTATCTAGTCCTCAAGTCTGGTTCTCTTTCCACTTTTCTTCGTCCTCTTTACGAGCATCTGGTTGCAGCTGATTCCGCATGCCTCCAAGGACATTGGACGTGGCCTCTGTTGCTATGATGACAGGTGAGAGAACTGTGGGAGGAACCAGTCTAATGGCTGCCCCCACTGCTCCTGTCATACCTTTTTGTTGATGCTCCTTTGTTGCCACCTCCACAATGTTGTATGCTGTGTTGCTGAATCCCTGCAAAAAAGACATTTCAAATTTATTAGACATCTACTCAGTGATGTATTCTGAGCCCATTTATTAAAGAACAAGACTATAGAACATTAATTCATTTGGCATTATAATTTTCTTTCATTAGAAATAAATACATCTACTGATATATCTTTACCTCTGTGATAGCAATGTAAGCATTTTCAACCCCTTCTCTCATATCAGCAGGTGGACCTCGTAACCGACGACGCTGAACTCGACACCCAGGGCCAGGGGTCACCATGTCATAGGTCACCTCAGCAACATACTGTAAAATCACAACAATGCTCACTTGACAAAAATTTTATTTAAAAAATTCCACCTCTTTCTTCATCAGTACAAACAAATTGGATTTGTTTATGAATGTGTATGCTTGTCTTTATCAGTGAAGGATCTATTCAAAAGCATAATTAAACAAATTATACAAAATGAATTGTATACATTGATACCTGCACGGACTGGACCACTCGATTGGTCAGTTCTAACATAGCCATGGCAGTAGAGGTGGAGAAAGAGGTTGCCCCTCTCTGGAACCCCCGGACTATTCTGCCATCTTTCTTGTACTGCTCTACAGGCAGCCAAAAAAGATCCCTGATGCCTTGACCTAAAACAATGAATTAAGCAATTTTTATATGTACATCTCTTTTAGAGTATATTAGTATCCAATGCTTATTTTCTCAATGCCAACAACAACTTTACAATTAACAGTAGGTACTGATGTTGTGGGTATTCTATTTGATCACAAATCAAAAATACCTAATTGTACAAAAGAATGCATTGGTCCTACTCCTCCCAGAATGCTTGGAAGCTGAGATTTTAAGATGTCTGTAATCCACTCATTAACACAGTAAGCCTGCAGCTTGTCTAGGCCCAGGAGGCTGAAAAATACATGTTCCATTCATTAGAAGAATATGTATACTGGCACATGGACTTCCGGATTTTACTGATGCTCCATGGGCCGATTTCACTCAAACAGCATGAAATCTTAAGTTGTGATTTAAGCCACAATTCTGTATCAGGAATTTTTTTTTTATTTTCACTGCAAGAGATCCTTACCCATGCTTATAATTCAGTCTCTTTAGTTTTAACTCAGAACAGTTCAAATTAGCTAATCCCACCAGTACACCTGCTAAGGTTCCCTGAAAATATAAAATCACCATTGTACACATAGTTCAACCTCTCAAGAACATGTTGAGAGAGAATCCATGGCTTAATACATGTTCTTTATTGTACACATAGTTATACATCTCTAGAATTCAGATCAGACAACAAGGTGAGAGAGAATCTTTGACTTACATGTTCCCTATCTACCCACTTCTTTCCATGGTAGTCAAGGCGAATTGGCACATCAGGAGAAAAAATAAAATTTCTGAAAATGAGAGGAAATCTGAAATGTGGTGCAGGTTTTTCTTTTCAAATCTTATAAAATTTGAGGCAGGGTACTCTAAGTGTTGTGGAAAGAATAGAAATACGTCTTGATCGTATAGTGGTTTATTTTAGACTTGTTGTTAAGTATAGAAACGTAACGTAAGGTATTATGACGTAACAATAACGTTAATGTTACATAAACTCACGGATAATCCATGACACTAAGTATTAGTAATATTTTTCCAAAAATATGCATGCTTAATTGAATTAACCAGTATGTAAAATGTGATCTATCCCAAAATTAATTCTTTTACATTTCTTTAGATGAACATTTAGATATCAAAAGAAGAAGCTCTGCAAGATATACATGTACTATACTACTCCTTACTTGATAAATACTGGCTGAGATTGCTCTGTACCATCCTGGTCACTACTGGCCCCAGAAGTACCGGAGGACATGGAAGCCTGACTGGCCATGCTCTGCTGCATCTCGTCAAATTTCATCAGTAATTCCTGATTATTCCCCACCTCCCCAGGAATGTCAGGCTGACCAACAGTTATCACAGGAGCTGGGGCACCAACACTGCCCCCAGACACTGGCCTTGACCTTGGTTTGGGGTCAGGGTCACTTGGATTGTCCAGATTACCCCCTGTAATTTCTGTGAAGAATTTCTTTAGGAAGAACAGCGAGTCCTAAAAGATAAATAATTATAGATACTGAGAACGAATCAAACACAGTAAATTGACTTCAACAGATTTTAAGCTAGAGATGTAGGGAATGTTTTGGTGATTATTTCTGTTAAAAACAATGGACTTTTACTTTTATGTTCATACTACGGTAAATAGCTGGTATTAGGGAGGGACAGAGAGCATACAAATGAAAACGTCAATTTCCTAAGCATTCCAATACTGGTAAAACAATGTCTTTATTCTGAAAATTTGATGAGATTGCTAGTAATCAATGGAAATCTTTTACTGAAAGAATCTTCACCTGATCAATGTTGAGCCTGAGTGGCTGTAGAGACACCCGTAATGAACACTCCTCTGTCTTCACACTGGGATCTGGTCTCTTGTGTACTGCTTTAACATACACCTAAACAAAAGCATAAACATTCGACCTTGTGAATGTTGTTAGTGAATGCCAAAAATTCCTTAATTTGAAAAAAATAATATTTCTTGGAAGTGCTAACCATATTAGAATTGGTTTGTTTTGGCATGTGTTCTGAGGAATACTGATACAGGAACTTATTGATTTTGGAGTCGGCCAGTCTGTCCCTGATCTCTACATCACTGATAACAAGCACCTGTCGTGAGGCCTGCTCTGTGTGACTGGGGTAGGTCTCGTGCTGGAATCGCACCTGAAATTAAAATTACAGAAAATTGCCAAATTTAACATGTCCCAGAGATTTTTATCATTTCTATTTGCATGTAACTACATTTGTACTGCTAAAAATTTACAGTTTGCAGAAATCTTGCTGGAGCTTTAAGTGACAAGTTACCCATTTATGGCAGCAAACAACAGTACACAATTTTAAAAGAAACTTTAGGGCTAAAGTGAAACTAAGTTAGTTATATCTATAATTTAACAGGTTCTACCTTGGTCAACTGAAGCTCCATCAGTGTATTGTGGTCCCTCCCCACTCCTCCCCGATGTTGCCATGGGATACGGTCCACTGATGACCCTTTGGAGGTAAATCTTATTGAAGGTTCTGTCACATAGTCTCTGTAATTATAAAACAAAAGAGTTTAACCATTTTTAAAACATATAAAAAACATGTATGTACATTTTTTTTTCAAAGAATACAAATGCACAGGGTTCAAATCTTCTGAAACTTCGAAAGTTAATCTACAATTTGTATTGACTTTCAGCATGATTTTTTATTTACTTACTAAAACCACAATTGTAAATTAAACTGCCTATGAGTACAATTAAATCTTAAAGTATTTATCCATGTTAAACAGCAGAAAACTTTAAGTCTTTGTATAATATTTATTTCATAATTACTAGTAATATGAAAGACATTACATAAGTTAACATATAAAAGTATAGGATTACAAGAGATGTTTGTAAAACACTTATGCCCCCTCCCCCAAATACTGTAAAATCACAAATTTTCGTGGGGTCAAATTTTCAAGGTTTGCGAAAAAATATTGGTTTGTGGGGATTTGATTTCGTAGTTGGAGAAATGTTTAGTAATAATGCAATTGAAATTTTACATTTTGTGGTGCCTATAGGAATGCCATGAGGGATTGAAACTAGTAAGAATATACATTACTTACTTTTCTTCTTTTTGGATGACATTTTGCATTTAAATTCTTATTGAATGGCCCTCTATTTAGACAAAATTGTCAATAACTTGATCTTTTTGTGTCTTTAACACATTTTAACAATGGCGATTAAAATATGCACATTAAACAAATCGCACAAACTGTTCCATGACAGACAAAAAAGAAAAGCTTGAAATCATATAAATTTCTTTCTTTCTTTTTTGTGTGTGAGTGTTTATGCTAGCACATACACTTCATAATTCAAATACACATGTATATGCCTATGTGTCAAGTCTATAAGATTTACACATATATAAAACACACAAAACTGAAAACTAAACAGTTCAAAGTGATAAAAATTCAAATCTCCATTAGATATAGACCAGGTAAAACTAACCAAACAAGTATATAGATAACACAGGTGGGTGGATCATGTATCCTTAGTACCGGTACACAGAAAGTGGAGGCCAATACTGTCTTGCATCAGGTAACGTTTATTTTACTCTTAATTTTTACTATATGCTCATACTTATAAATATTGTTCTAGAGCAGGCCTGCACTCTATCATTTTAATAATAAAAATTTAGCAAATTTTGTCCATTATTTCTCTTTTTCTGAAAAAAATACCAAATCCAAATAGTTTGTGACCTCACAAAAACAAAAATTGTCAACATTAAACCTACTTTAAAACTATAATATTTTTTGTTTAAAATCTATCTTAATTTATACAATTTAACATATATTAAGAAATTTTCAAAATTTGACTTTCGCTGGGGCAAAAATATGCAATACACCACAAAGAATTCTCTAAAGCAGTGCAAACATGGACTTCAAAAATATAAGAGGTGGGATCATGTACCATGGAGTAGTGAATGTGCTGTCACGCTTTCCGGATATCTTGTTTCCGCCAAGACCGGTCTTGTTATATACGTCTGGGATTCAGCATGGCCGGAGCTGGTGCAAATGTGGGTTGTGTTAACCCTTGTTGTTTTTTGATGTTTTGATACCTGTGAGGTGCCACAGCGATGTGAGTGTTAATATGTGCATATGTCTAATGTGTTAAACAACCTTTTTCATATTTTGCAATGATATTTTCCATGTGTTTAAATCTGTTGTCATTTTTGATAGAGAAATTTCTGTCTGATTATTTGTTCTTGTTTACCATTGATCTTAAGCCAAGTCTTTGTGTTTATACAGTGTTTGCATCTATTGTCAAAATTCTTCTAAGTAATTTAGGCCTGTATTTCGTAGTGTATTCAAAATTGATGAGGTCATTTTTGTGAAATTATGAGTGAATATTATTTGTAGAGAAAGCTAGAAATTTATTGTCTATTTCAATTTTATTTTCAGTCATTTACCTCTTGTGAAGCCATTATCATAATAAAGTCTTCAACACTACACATGGTTTCGAGGTCATTAATCCGCAGTTGCACCAGTCTGGGACTGAGACTGCACAGTAAATGAATCGCTTCTACACGGATCAGGATCATTCTACCTGAGGCTGGGCCTACCATTCCGACTCCCCTTGACAGTGGCGTGCGGACTATACCTACCTGGAGAGGCATCCAATCCTGTCGGTTGCGTGGGACATTGCGTTACATGTCGAACATTCTGTATACATTCCGTTGCATGTAGAACATTCCATTATATAGTACAATATTCTTGGACATGAACTATTGTCATGTATAACTGTTAATATTTAGTGGCTTTATGCATTTTCAATTGTACGTATATGGTCAAACAACTTGGTGCTACAGGAATGTGATATGTCAATAAGTAGGATTGCATTTTTCTTAAGCATGCTGTGAAAATTTGTGCTGTAACTATGTAGCAAAATAATGCTTGAGTAGATATTTGAATTTTATCTTGCTGCAAATTTGACGACAAACATTTTTCTGTCAACTGTCAATGTCACACTTGTGTACTGTGAAAGAAAATTTATTTTTTCAATTGTACATGTGTACAGCATTTGAAACATTATTGTGTGTACTCTGAAATGTTTATGCTCATTTAGAAGGGTGGTCATTTTTCGTATGTATAGATTACATCATTTAATTAATATTGAAATGCAAAGATAAGTGTATTACATTGACACAAAATGGCTGATAAAGACAGTAGTACTATAAGCAGTATTAAAGTAGAGGATCATGATGAACTTCAGGGCAAAAGTAGAATTAAAACAAAAACAGAAAAATGCCAAGCCCTATATGAGGACACTGTTAGGAAATATCTTAATAATTGTGACGCTATTTGGTCTGACATTGAAG